TCCCCCCCCCCCAATAAAAAACAAACCCAAAAAACTGCATCGGGCTCATCCCTCAGCAAACCTTGCTCTTTTTCCAGGAGCGCTGAGGCTCTTCGAAGCGCTCACGCATTTCCCTGCCCGCATCCCACCCTGAGCCATGCGCGTGGGAAGCAATCGTGCCGAGATGCAACCGGTCCCTGAAATCTCGGGGCTACCGATGGATCCAGCACCCAAACAACATCAATTTGTCGAGAGTTGTTATGGGATCGGGGCTTGCTGGAAGCCACCTTGGCGATGCAAGGACCCGCTGATGTGGTTGAGCGCTTTATAGGGATGCTCTTTGCCCTCTCGCTCAGATCATTGAATAGAAAAGGGTGGAAGGAGGGCACAGGAACAGGGCCAAAATCACGCTGCCAGTTTTGATTAAGTCTCGAGCATCACAGTGTGGGGCAGCACTTCATAAAGATGCTTGATTGCTCCAGGGCCCCTCCGCAACGGGACTCCGAGGGCAAACCTGCCCCGAGCCCAACACTTCATTTTCTCCATCAATTAATTCCCAACGCGCACAAAGCCACGCTCATGGGAACACCCGGGAAGGAGCTCAGAACTCCATCCCGCAAGGCCATCGCGGTTTTCCACCAAGCTCAGGGCCAGGTGCCACCACGGGAGTCAAGCTGCAAAGCGCCGGAGGGTTGTGCTCTGCTAATTGCCACCGGTGCTGTTCGTTAATGGAGCCGGTATCCCAGCAACTCGCATAGGTGCTAACCGAGGTCACCGGGATTGCTTTATAAATGGGTTTGTCGCCAAGGAGCCGTGTGGAGGCATCTTATAAACAGAGCGGTGAGGCGGTGGGTAACACCCGGGGGCTCTTCCCCGGGACCTGGCAATGCCGCGCTCCCCACGTGCAAACGCTCGCAGCTCACAAGCGCACGTGCGTGCTCGCACATGCTTTGAGCTGGCAGCAGATGGGGACGGGGTAATGCAAGCAGGCAGCATTGCCCAGGAACGCCTGTGCTTGTTTCTAACGGCGGCCTGGCGCTCGCCTGCATGTTGCACGCACTCGCACATGTGTCCCCGTGCAAACGTGGGCTTGTCCCTGCTCCCCTCCCCGCCCCCCCCAGCCAAGCATGCTCACGTGAGCATCCCTGCGCTCGATCCCACGCTGCTCAAGCCACATGCCAGTCATGGCCCTGCGCTAACAGCAAGCAACGGAGTGAAAATCAGCTGCATGATATTCTGGCTTCTGGCAACCAAGCCAAAAATTGCCCCTTTGCAATGCCAGTGTGCCGTCAAAGGGTAAATCCCCTTCCCCCCATTTAACCCCATTCCCTGTGTCTCCTCTTGAAATCCCACTCTGGTTTCAATCGCTACCTTTTCCTAGACCGTCATAACCAATCTCGCTAGCATGAGGGATGCTGGACTCATCCTGCCTCCAATCTCACTCCACCCAAGCAGAAGACGGGTGCTCACATGCCAAGGCAGACCCACGCCAGCATGTCTGTGCCCCAGCAGGACGCATTTTGTGGAACTGCTGAGCAGGACCCGAGTGCTGGAGGGAGAGGTAAGGGGTCCGGAGTCATCCCCAGCAGCAGGGGAGCAAGGTGACGCCACTGGAAGCAGCAATAGGGACAAGAAACACATGCCACGTGGCAATCCACTGCAATCCAGCTCGGTCTTCTCCAGGTCCCAGGTCCAAGGGGTGGTGGGCAGGGGTAGCTCTTCTCTTTGAGCTGCCCCAGTGGGACCAACCGCTGGAATCGGGCTCAAACCATGATGGATGCCGAGATCTGCAGCATATTCCTGAACCAGATCCATCTCCTGATTTCCACAGCTTGTGCAGACATCAGTACCTGTCCCAGGATCTGACAGATGGCCATCAGCAAGTCGGGCTCAGAACCAAGCTCATCTCAATTTGCAGAGCTGCCAACAGCCCAGTACCAGAACAAACAGCCTCAGCAGGAGATAAATCAGGACCGGAGGAAGAGGCGCCTCTGCGGCTCCCAGTGGCTTTCGGCTGGAGCGCAGGAGGCTGCTTTGCCCCTCTGATCATCTCTGGTCACCACTAAGCCTGACCACACTGGAGCATTTCACCAGGGAAGACATCAGCCCTGACCTCCCAGGACAGCATCCTACCGGTCCATCCCCAACAGCCCAAGCAGGACGCAGATACTGAGGTTCCCTCTTCCCAAAAGGTCTCGCGCATCACTCAAGCCCCTCTGGACACCAGATCCACCTTTCTCCAGGTGGATTTCAGCAAGGTGGGGGCAAGTGACCCACACAGACATCTATTTTTAATCGTATAAGGCACACTGACATTTGCAGGAAGGACACCAGAACAAACCAACGAAGATCACCAAAGTGCCCTTTCGAATAGCTGTTGCTGCCACCATGCATGAAATAAATCCCCTGGTCTCCTGCAACCAAGTAACGTGATCTGGGAGCCCAGCAAAAGCATCACTGGATCCTCAGCTATTAGATCTACTCTAGTTCTCCTGGCTTCAGTGGGACCAAGCTCAAATGCTTCAGTTGAAGAGATGCCTGACGTGAGCATCTTGTAAGGATGAAGATCAGCACTTGGCTTTCATCCCTCTCCTTCATCCCTTCAGCTCAGCATCCCCCCCAGTCTGGGGCAGGACTAGAACCCCCTCACCTCTTCTCGTTAGCAGGCATTAAGAAAAGAGACCAACCTCCCAGAAAAAGGCACTTCCAGGGAAAACCTGAGGCTTTTCAAGCCAATATTTGTATAGTACCCTTCTGCCCAAAGATGAGCAAAGCTTTTCATCTTTTTCCTCTCTCTAAGGGACAATGCTGAGCAGGAACGCCAAAGGGAATCCTTGATTTCCCAGGAAGAAGCAATCAATTTGCTTCTACTAATGTAATAAACGTGATTGCCCCCAAACACCTCCCCTCGCTCCAGGGGCTGTTAGAGAGTCTGGCCCAGGCCAGCCTGGGATGAGCCGGGCTGCCTCGCACATGAAGACAGGCGACTCCCCAGCGTAAAAGATGCCGGGAGGGCGTGAGATGAACCTGAGCCCCAGGGCTGGAGGTCACAAACCCAAAGCTGAGGTCCTTCCTATGTCCCAAGCCCATCCAGTCTTTACCAACCCAAGCAGAGCTACAGCGACAAACCCTTGAGGGTCTCCAAAGCACCAACGCCACGAGCCAACAGGTCTCGGCGTGCAGCTCAGAGACGTAGCACATCATCTTTTCTCCTGCCTGGTCCCAGCTCGCATGCACCATTCCCCGTGAGTAACTGGGATTAGATGGTACCAAGGGGGCAGAGGTAGGTCAGCTCTGCAGCTACATCATCCCACATCACCCTGGACACACAAGAAAAACTAAAAAAAACTGAGCCGTGTCCTAAGAGTTATCCCAGCAATCAAGGGTGCAGCTGGATTTCGTGGCTCAGGGTAGGCACTGGATTTACCCTCCCAGGGGCTGGGGGGCTGGGAGACGGGCAAAGGGCACGCTCGCTGGTGGAGCACGGAAGGCTGGAGGACGGTGCGAAGGGACGGGGCTGAAGAGGGCTGTTGTTTTGTCATGGGAAGAAGAGTTTTGTGTTTTCCTGACTCATCTCCCCCACAGTTTCCCATCGAAAACCTCAACACTTAGCAAAGCTCACTTTCCAAACCCAGAGGAGACAGCCTTTCTGGCAGCCCGGCGCTTTTGGCAAGGCAGCGCTTGACACATCGCGGCTCCCCATGCTCAAACCCACCAAAAGACATCAGACGGGGAGAGGGAAGGAGAAGCCTGTGGATTTTTTTCCCCTGCTGAAAACCTTTGGACCATCTTCAGTCACAACCTCACCACCTCCCCAGGAGAGATGTCCCCCTCACATCACCCTGAGATGGGTGACTGAGGCCCAGGGAGAAGAGCTGGAGGGACAGGAGAAGTCAGAGCACCGGGGAGCAAAGGGACAGACCTGTCCCCAAGGAGGGCAGTGCAGCCAGCATGGGGTCACAGACCCCAAATAGTGGCAATCAGGGGAGGAGGAATTGGGGGAGGAGAAAACAAAAAGGGTAGAGCTAGCACGGGGAGACGCGGTGGACGGAGATGAAGCAGATGGAGAGGCAGGAAGACAAGTGGATTTGGGGAGCGGAGAACAACAGCCAGGCAGGCAGATGGAGATGAACCACCGTCTCGGACAGATGCAATAAACCTCTACCTCGCTCCTCCACCTTGCCCTCCCCAGCCCACGGGCCAGCTCACACCTCCAGCATCAGCCATACCTTTCTGGATGCCTCCATCCGCTGCACAGGAGAAGTCACCCGTGGCCAGCAGGAAGCACGTGGAGGATTTCTTGTTCTTATCCCGGGTGCTGGAGCGCCGTATAGGCCGTTTCTCCTCATCGGTCGGTGACAGCGGCTGCTCCTCATCTGACAGCACCACGTTGGCCTCACCGTTCTGCTTAGAGTCTGCAAGAAGGTGGCAGAGACCCATCAGCAATTGATAAACCCACAGGACGAGGTGCTTGGGGTGGCCTGAAGGGTTTGCTTAGACCATGCAAGGAAGAAGACGACCAGATTGCAGATGGCCCAGAGCAACACCCACAAATTCAGGTACTGATCCCAGCCTGGACATGCTAACTTAGAGTGACCAGGGGAGCAGGACCATGCCAGATTTTAATCCCAAGTGGCAAACAGCAGCTCTTACTCCTGCTGAGGGTTATATACCCTGCGTGAAGCCAAGCAGGGTTTGCCAGGGAAGAAACACCCCTGGTCTTTGAGATCCACCCACCTAATTGTGGGAATTAGCTCTCCAAAATTCACACCGCTGAGATACGGGCTGCTCAGGTTAGTGCTGAAGTGCTAATTTATGTCATCTGACTCTGTGGTTCGTTAGCTAAGAGGATGCTATGCCAGGTGAGGGTCTGGCCTGAGCTCCTGGATCAGTGTCGGGGTGAAGGGATGGGGTTGACCTGCTCCCCCAGAGCAGGACAGCTACTCTCACTGCTCCCCACTGCCAGGGCTCCTGGGGCAGACGGGACGCGTAGGCACGTGGAAAAGGGAGATTTATAAAGGAAAACACCTATCTGGGGCATTTGGAGCTCCCTGTGTCCCCACGGGTGAAGGACCATCACTGTTAAACACTTGTGGCCAGATGTGAGGTCAGCTCAGGGCTGACCTCAGTGAATGCCATGTCGGTGCAGGACACAGCTCCACCGAGGTCCCTCCTGTTTCCCCACTGCAAGGCCGGCTGCTCCAGAGGTGCCGCTGGCAGCAAGCCAAGACGAAAAGGGCAAAGCAGCCTCCGTGGCCAGCAATGGTGCCACGGCAGGGCTCTCGCAGTCCCCCCAAAGCTTAGCCCAAGCGATGCTGCCCACCGACGACTGCCCACAGCTGGGGCCATGCCCTCTCCTGACCTGAAGGAAAGACTGGCCAAACCCCAAACTTCAGCTCAGTGCACGAGACCAAATAATAAATGTACAGGGGCTGATTTTGCTCCTGCCTGAGCACAGGATTTGGAGCAGCATTGTCCTTGCCGTGCAGGGATCCTACATCTACTAGAAGATGAATGGGGAGGTGGGGCCAAGCCCCAGGGAATATCCATGGATTTATCCATTTTGGTGAAGCTTGCCCTGATTTATGGTGGGAGGAAGCAAAAGAAAATCTACCCCAAGGGCGTTACCAGGCTAAGATGGGAATCGGGCAAATGGTCTTACCTCTGTCAGCGTGAGGAAGAGGTGGGCTAGGTAGGGACACCTTGAATCACACCACGGTGACTCGATCTATGCCATTAGGAGAGCAGGATATGGCCTTTCCCCCCCTGCCTGGAGGGGGGATCTTGATCTGCAGCATCCTCGTCCACCAATACGGCACCCAATACCCGGACACCCAAGGGCCCCAGCCCTTTCTGCACCAGGTTCTCACCAACCCAAGAGCTGGGGGCCGCGTCCTGTAGCAGGGCAGTCCCCAGGGACTCTGGGACACAGGGGACCAGAAACGCTGCCTTGCGGGCTCCCAGAGGTCTCCCCCTCCCTCTGCCCCACCTTTGGGGTCTCACCTGACCGTTTCCGCTCAGCCGCCCCCTCCTCTACCGCCAACGGGCAAGTGTCGCTCTGGGTGCTGTTACGGGGGGAGTTTTCCTCAGATTTGCAGTAGGTAGGGGAGTCCAGCGGGGCCGGACGGGGTATATGCTTTTTCTTCTTCTTTGGCAGCTTCTGCTTGGCCATGGCCAACGAATAGTACATCCCAAAGTTATTGACAATGACGGGCACAGGCATGGCGATGGTGAGCACCCCGGCCAACGCACAGAGAGCCCCCACCACCATGCCCGACCAGGTCTTGGGGTACATGTCGCCGTAGCCCAGGGTCGTCATCGTGACCACCGCCCACCAGAACCCAATGGGGATGTTCTTAAAGTGAGTATGATCGCTCCCGCGGGGGTCAGACGTCTTGGCTCCAATCCGCTCAGCATAGTAGATCATAGTGGCGAAAATCAAGACCCCCAAGGCGAGGAAGATGATGAGGAGCAGAAATTCGTTGGTGCTGGCCCGGAGTGTGTGGCCCAGCACCCGAAGACCCACAAAGTGCCGTGTCAGCTTGAAGATCCGGAGGATCCGGACGAAACGGACCACCCGTAGGAAGCCCAGTACGTCCCGGGCAGCTTTGGAGGACAGGCCGCTGAGACCTACCTCCAGGTAGAAGGGCAAGATGGCCACAAAGTCAATGATGTTGAGCAGGTTTTTAACAAAGAGAAGCTTATCTGGACAGCAGATGATGCGAACCAGGAACTCGAGCGTGAACCACAGGACACAGACCCCTTCGATGTAGGTGAGGATGGGCTCCGTCTCCACTTTATGCGTCAGCAGGATCGTCGTGGTGTTGCCAACCACGAGGGTCTCCGTCACATTGACGTCGATGTTGAAGGCCTCGTGCGTCTCCAGGCAGAAGGTTGTGATGGAGACCAGGATGAAGAAAAGCGAGGCAAAAGCAACTACCTGCAAAAGTAGAAATTACACGGGCCGTTAGCTGATTTGGGTCAACCTCTCCCCTTTGGAGGAGAGCGGCAATTTTATGAACCACCGTGACAACAACTTTGGGGCAGCCTGAGACACACTTCTGGTGTCACCTGCCTTTGGTACGTCTCTTCTAATCCCTGCGAGTGAATAGCAATAGCAGGGATGGGAGAAGTCCTCATTCAATAAAAATGAGTGCAACAGGCTCAAAACACCCCAGGAGCCATGCTGCTGCCACCCACTTCCCCAAGACCAAGGATGGAGAACGGGGAGGGTTCCCTGGACCTGTCCAGGGAGTTGGACATGAGTTGACAGCAAACCTCAGTGTCTAGGGCCATCAGTCCAGAACCTTTCTCCAAGTGCTACGATGTGTACGGGGGACGGTGTGCTGTGCTCCAGCTGTGGCTGGAGATGTGCCAGAAGTGACAGTGATGGAGCTGAAGGAAGACCTGCAACAGCCTGGGTTCGGAGCAAGCCTCCACTGGGAACACTCATGAAAAAGGAACTTTGAGAGGACTAAGTCAAAGAGCTTTCCCCCACATTCATCCCAACACCCACCCCACCCCCCCGATGAGACGTTCGCACCATTCATGACTGTGAGGTTTGGGGTCTGGATGTGTCAGAGAAGTCCTTTTGCCCCCACCCTGCTCCCTCAGGGTCAGTGGTGGACGACGTGCCCACGAATGGTCCCAGGACCGAGAGGGCAGGACGAGGAGGAGAAGAGCAGGCAGAGCTCAGCGTCCCGCTGATGCCTGGACCTGGTGATGCCCAGATGCTCCCATTTCTCCCCTCTGCCCGACCGGTGAGACCTTTGTCCCCTCCGGGCCGCCTCCTCCCCGCGGCACGCTGCCGCTTCGCCTCGGATGTGAGCGAGGAGGGGCCGGCAGCACGCGGTGGAAATCACAGGCTGTGTCAGAAAGAAAACACTTTGTCGTCCCCCCCATCAATCCTGCTCAGCCCTCCTCCCCGACAGGATGAGCTCATGATGAGGCCGTTACCCAGAGCATCTGTTTCCAAGAGCCCCCCCCCCCAAAAAAAAAAGCCTCTGAGCAGAAAAGCTCTTCTTCTACCTTCCTCCAGCACAAAAGCACAGCGGGTTTGGCTTCCCGGGAGCAGATCCTGCTACAGCACCCTTTGCTGCTAACCCACCCTGCCCGCACCGAGCAGGATGCGACCTTTTGCTGTTGAAGCCACCCGACCGGCTGCGTTCAGCAGGCAGCTGCACCGTGAGCCTGCTCGAGACGACAGCCCGGGTCCTCGGCTGGCGTGAATCAGCAGCAGAGACAGTCTGAGTCACGCTTGAGAAAAACCCGGCCCCGGACACTGGCGGTAACATGCCGGCAGCCCTGAGCCTGCCAAGAGCATCCTTGAGGGGTGTCCCCAAGGGCAAACCCATGTGGGTCCAACACAGAGAGCATCAGCCCTCCAAAAGTTAGGTGTGAAGTTTAAGCCAGGCTCTAATTGATGGAGAAACCTCTGGAAGATGATTCTCCCCCCCCCCGGCTCCCAGTGACAGACACCTGCTCGGGGATGGGCTGAGATGCTCTATACCCCTCAGACCAGACCACTCTGGACCACGCACCGTGACGCTGCTCTGCTGGCGGCAGCTCCGAAGGCAGCCCTCGCCGATCAGCCACGTGCAATTCGGGAAGCAAACCCAACAAAAAAGCGGGATCTTAAAGCAAGGCCGGTTTAACCAGACAAGTGTGTCTACACGGCGGTGGCACGGCCAAAATAATCCGCTTTTCAGCTGAGGGCTGAGTAACGCTGCTGAGCTTCCCCGTATGGGGAATCTCAGGAGAACTTGGAGAGTAAAAACTTAGACTCAAAGCAAGGTAGGAAGAAAAAAAATTACCAAGGAAGAGAGTTGGACTCTGCAAACACTCGGGCAATGAAACAGCCCTGCTGTATGAGCCGCGTAGGTGAGATCTGATCTAGCCCCAGGAGCAAAAGCAACTTCTAAAAATAGGAGAGTCAGGTTCACAGCCGGTGCCAACCATCACCCCCCCCAAAGTCAATAATGCTGCTCCAGTTTTGTGTCAGCTGAAGATCTGACCTGAGATGTCTTATCTCAGCTTTGGCCTCTGCTCCGAGCTCAAGTGTTTTTCCAAAACTGTCTTAAAAATAAAATAAAATCTATGTATAGACCCAGTGGCCACCAACACAGCACCAGAAGTCCCACCAAACAAGTCCTCCAGAACCCGCCGATGATCTACACGATCTCAACATGCGCTCAACAGCTTGGGATGGGCGTTCCCAAAAAACCCATGACCCTACGGGGGGAACTAGCCTGGAAGTCCCAATGGAAGTGAGGTCAGTCGGGCTGCAAAGGGAAAAATAATGAGGAGCTGCAAGTGAGCAGAGTTTGGAAGTAGAGGCAAAAATCACAGCCAGGGCAGTTTTCCGTGGGGAGAAAAAGAGTTTTACGCTCCAGCTGGGACAGCAGCTACACTAGGGACCAAATTTTTACTGACACTGGACTAGACACAGGAGCCAGTGATGCCATGGGCATCGATGCTACAAGGAAAAGAGACTAAAAACTTGGGGGGGGGGGGGGGATTTTAAACAGGGCAACCACGGGGGGGGGGGGGGGAATTTCTAACCACGCTCACGCAGTTGCCAGCTCAAGAGGTGCCAGGAGAGGGAAGTGCTGGAAGAAGGGAAAGATGGAAATAGCCAGGAGCCAACTGAGTCAGGGCCTGAGGGACTGCTCTGCGGGCGAGGAGGAGCAAGGACCGGAGAAATTCAGCCCCCGAGACTCTTAGTCACTGCTGTCGCACGATCGAGGGAGAGGTTTTACGCACACGCTCACGCAGTTGCCAGCTCAAGAGGTGCCAGGAGAGGGAAGTGCTGGAAGAAGGGAAAGATGGAAATAGCCAGGAGCCAACTGAGTCAGGGCCTGAGGGACTGCTCTGCGGGCGAGGAGGAGCAAGGACCGGAGAAATTCAGCCCCCGAGACTCTTAGTCACTGCTGTCGCACGATCGAGGGAGAGGTTTTACGCACACAACCTGGGACCGCTCTCCTTCCCGCTGCTGTCAAGGTTTGGCAAGACACACCAGACCGGCTGCTCCGGTGCATCCCCAGGCCAAATGCCGCGGCCGGCAGCACCCCTTTTGCTCTGAAAAGGAAGGGGGAGACTCCGAAACGGGGCAGTATTAAAGAAATCCCACTTCAGCCACTCCAAAACGCCAGGGCAGCACCATGAAAGTTGCACCTGCAGAGATGCTCGTGGGTCCCGGAGCATCCTGGTGCTGGACGGTGACTCCGAACCGGTAACGGTTCCCTGCGTTAACTGGGTTAATTAACTGGGTGCACTGGGCAGGTTGCGCTCACTTAGGTTGGTTGCACTGCCCCGTGCCTCAGTTTCCCCTTCTGCCAAAGCAGTTCTCCTAAGCCATTGCAAAATTATACTGATATTTTAGAGTGGAACATATGACCCAGAAGAGCCTGTGAGCATTACCGCTGGAAGGTGACCGTCCCCGTGGCGGTGCTAAGCTGAGCCTTTATCTTAGAGCAGTAAGAAGGAAGCGAGGAGCTCCCAGTGCAGACTGGTCCCACTCCAACCCCAGTCAGGGCTCGCGTCACAGCCATCTCTGCTCCCTCCGACACACTCCTCCTGCTTCTGTTTAGCAAACGCCTTTCTGAGCGCAGCTCAGCACACGGGAAAAGCAGAACCAAATAATAACGTGAAAAATCTGAGTTGGAATTATTCTGCTTGGGTTTATTTTTTAATTTGGAGCTTTGCACCACTCAGAGCATCTCTCAGAGGCAACAAGCCCCCAGAGACGGGCAAAGGAGCAGGTACCCCTTTCAAAACGAGCAAAGCTCTTGCTGCCCAAGCATCCTCTGCGTGTGTGTTGCTCTTATGTTAGCTGCAAAACCACCGCCTTGACAAACTGACCCCCTGCCCCGCGCACTGCTGGTGGGTGTGAAATGCCTGCAGGATTTCTTACCATTGATGTTTGGGTTTTTTTTTTTTTTTACACGTCTAAATGCATCCAGAATTCATTTAGATCCCAAATGCCTCTGTGTGTGTGTGTGTGTGTGTGCGCGGCAGATTTATAAACTGGGCATGACAGGGGACACACATGCGGGGATGGCACCGGATGGGTATGGAACGGCGTGGGTGGGTGTCTGGGGGGTCGGTGGGCAGCGCTTTGGGGATGATCTAAGAGTAGCTGGGAGAGGAGACGTGCACAGAATAGTGCCCAAGACAGGCTGGGAGCCCAAAGATGCACCTGGCTATGGGGGATACATCCCAGGCATGTCGGTGTCTGTGGGCAGGGATCATCTGCGTGTGCAAGAGGGGGTCGCAGAGGGATGTTAGCGCGCGTATGTGCTCATGTGTATGTGTACATGGTATACCGGGTCCCCAGGGACGTGCGTGGATGAAGGGGGTTGGTGTGTGTCTGTGTGTTTGTGTGTTAACCATGGCTGAGAGCCTGCGCTCGCACGTGCTGATGGGGACCGTATGCTGCGCGTGGGCAGCATCGACGCAGAGATGATGGGGGACAGGGGTGCGGGGACGAGGGCGCTTGCAGGGCACAGGGAAGGGTGCTTGTACAGATGCCCGGGCTGTCCTTTGGGGCTGCTGCTGCTGTAGAAGAGGAGCACGAGCTCCTTGGGGACAACTAGGAGGATCCCATTTGCTTCAGGACCTGCTTTGGGTGCCAGCAGGCACCAGCCCTGTCCCCCCACTCCACAGCTGGGCCATTAAATGCGGGGTTTGGTGTGGGCATGCACACAACCCAGCGAGAGGAACCCAAGCAATCCTGCCTGTCCTAGAGCATCCTGGAACTCTGCCAGGACTCAGCCCTGCCAAGGACTCTCCCTGACAATCCCTCATCTCCATGTGCCCAGGAGGTGCCCAGGCAGCACCCGAGGGTGCGAAGTGGGCAAGGAGTGGGCTTGCCCCCAGTTTCAGCCCAGCTCCCCCAGATGCGATGTGGTGGAAGGAGATAGGGAGATGATGGAAGAGACTTCCCGTAGGATGGGAGATGGCCAACGTGCCCCATGGTAGGAGGGGGATGGCTACGGGGGGGGCCACGTAACCCACTAGGAGAGTCCATCTCACCCATGGCGATGGGGAGATGAAGACACAACCCCAGCATGGCCCCATCCCACCGCCCCGCTGGCACGTTTCGGGAGCTTACCCTTGCCGCCTTGGACGAGTAGGGATCCTCAAAGAGCGCCCACATCCTGGGCTGCCAATTCCGACAGCAGCCACCCCCTCCGGCAGCCCCCGCTGCCCCTGGCGGCCTGTCATCCATGCCCAGGCGTTGAAGGGCCATCTCCCTACCCCCTTCCTCTTCAGGCTCCTCTCCAGCGGCCCCTCCACCAGGCTCGGGACTCTCGAAGATGTCCAGGGCCTCTTCAGCATCGCGATGCTGGCGGTAGGTCATCCAGCAACAGGGCTCCACGTCCGTCTCATCGATGCCCCAGTAGGTCAGCTCCTCCTCGAAGAGGGGTCCGCAGATGTCTGCGGGGCAGTGCAGCTTGCCGGTACGGTAGTAGTTGAGCACGTAGGAGAAGATCCCGGGGTGACGGTCGAAGAAGAACTCATTGCTTTTACCATCAAAGTCAAAGTTGCTCTGGGCATCGGGGTCAGCGAGCCAGGCCAGGCGGGTGCCCGGCAAAGTCCGTAGGGTACTTTTGTAGGTCTCGTGCCGGGTACCACCTACATTGATGGTGATCTTGTCCGACTCTTCCCCTTTGCCCATCTCTTCCTTCAGGCATGTTTTGGAGGGTGGTTTGTTCCCAGACTTGCGTCCACGGTAGGAGGAGACACACACCGAGCTGATCATAGATTTCGGTGGATGGGAGATGCACGCTACGCGCACCCTTCCTCCGGGCGAGGAGCTGGGGGTCGGCGGAGGCGGGAGAGGGGGGCAGAGATGGGACTGGGGAGGGGAAAAGCGGGGGCTCAGGCTTGGCTCTGGCCTCAGGGGGAGCAGGCTGGAGCCGAGCCGGACACCGCTGGCTGCTGGGGGACGGCAGGGGAGGCTGCAACCTCCACCCCCTCCAAAACCACCCTCCT